GGAAAAATCTTCTGCTTCGTCAGTATTTCATGTGGCACTCAACTGACTGATTTAGAAATTTTTACACGTTTAAATGGTAACAAGGAAAAGAGTACTGAGCTGCTACGTGACACCTCTCTTCCTTTACGGCAGCAAATGTTGGACGGTCTCTTCAAAGATGAAGAAGAGACTCGAGGCAATGAAGGTATGGTTCTACAAAGGGATGCTAAGGATATCACGGAACGAGCGTGTGAGAAACGACGAGGCCTTGTATAGTGTGAATATCACTTTAAAAAAAATAAAACAAAAATAATCTGATATTTTTATTTCTTTGGAAAAGTTTTAGACGAGATTCATTCTTCATGGCAAACGGAAAAAAAATTCTCCTGAACTCAAATTTCAAAACTTTTTTAACATTCTCAAATGCTTTTTCCAGCATAACAGAAAAATACAAAGCAAATTGAGAGGCGCAAATAACACGACCTTGCTTTGTTGCATTAGAGACAAAGAATGGGCCGGACACCTCTCCATTGGATCGAAATTAGCCCATCAACCACAGATGGAAAGATATGACACAGAGCATCCTTTCATGAACGCTCAGCTCCCTAACGGCGAGCGAAAAGCATACCTTGATACGGTATCAAAAACCTTAGTCAGATTAACGAATGTAAAAAATAAAGCCCTGTTATATTCACGTGCTTTCTCCTGTAGTTGCCTCAAATTGAAAATCATATCTACAGTGGTTTTCTGCCAAATCAAAAGACGCACTTAGATTCAAACAAGACTGAATCGGTCAGATAAATCTGCTCAAGATGATTCTGCCAATAATTTTTCCCAACAATGCACAGAAGGGTTTATGGTTGTCACATTTGCATATTTTGTCTTTCTTTATATACAGAAGGGCAATAGAAGAATCTTTTAAACTTCTGGTGAACTTATCCTGATTCGAAGATTAAAGAATATATATATATATATATATATATATATATATATATGATGGACTCTCCCGTCGGTTTCGACGTATGGGGTTCCGACAACTTTGTTTATTTAACCCTGTGTGTGAGTCGCAAGTGACATTTCAGTCCTGCTAGTGATTTGCAAAAAAGTCCACAGATTGTGCAAGAGTGTGGTTTGTTGGAGTATATGGCTGGAACAGCAGCAGATATTTTATTCCTTTCCCTAGTTTGACGAAGCCTGACAATGTTTGATGCTGCATTGTTCTTGATGCCATTGTAGCATGTAGTCTTCCATTCATTACGATCAATTACGATGTTATATATATATATATATATATATATATATATATATATATATGTGTGTGTGCGTGCGTGTGTGTGTGTGTGTGTATCTCTGTGTGCTTGTGTGTGTTTATGTGATTATTTTAAACCTTATATTGAAATTTTTTATTTTCTTCTTCTTCTTTTACTATTATTTTTTTCCTCTCACTTGTCTTTACGTCTGGATAAATAGACTCCATTCATTAAAAAAACGTCGGTCTGCAGAGATAAATATTTATATATTCATGAAATAAGTTATAACTGAATGGATTTTTAAAGATCGTTTTTACATATTATCACACACACACACACACATATATATATATATATATATATATATATATATATATATATATATATATATATATATGTTTGTCTGGCTTTCTAGGTTTAACTAGGTCTGCTCTACTTACTGTACTGAGCGCTTTATTTAGTTATTTTGCCTACTCGTGTCAGGTTGTTTTCTTTGGCCTTCGGACTTGCATGCTAGACGATTATTTTCGGCTGACATACATGTTCTTGGTTGTTTCTTTTTTTATACCTTTTTTTTTCTCTTTGGTATTGGTTTGATTATTTGCAAACCAAAACACTGAACGTTTTCAGAATGAGTATAATTTCTTATATGAGATTACTACTACTACTACTAATAATAATACATATATATATATATATATATATATATATATATATAAAAAATGGACAAAGTCCGACAATTATTTTAAAGACATTTTTATGTTTATACATTCTTTTTTATAGATACAAATATTTAAGTAAATGTTCTGTTTATAATAAACAGTATTAAACAACATTTACCGGCCTGAATGTCCGAGAAACTCATTCAGGCCGGTAAATGTTATTAATACTGTTTATTATAAACAAACATTTACTTGAATATTTGTATTTATAAAAGAATGTATACACATAATAATGTCCTATATATATATATATATATATATATATATATATATATATATATATATATATATTACTAAAAATCTCCTATCGCCCCAAAATTCAGGATTGCAGCCAGGAATGTTTTTAATTTGCTCACGGTTTCGGCTTGATTCCATAATGGTATGATATGTGTGACGCAATCACACATTGACATTCGCATTTATTATATAGATATATGTAACAAAAATCCATAGCTTTTTGGACTTGCAGTTTCATACACTTTTTCGCATCTATTAGGTTGTTGCAAAAATAATGACGTAATAATGTTTTTTGACGTATTTTTAACGTCAAAAAACGACATTAATACGTCATTATTTTTGCACCAACCTAATATATATATATATATATATATATATAATATTTATTCCTTTCTCACAGAAGGGAGAGGCGATCGCGCATCGTTAAGTGTGATTAGTTACTTTTTTAGCCTAAAACTACGTCGCAAACTTCTCCCTACTCTATCGCTATTTCCATGTAAAGTGTTCAGACAAATTACATTCCGTAGTTCCACCAGTTCTAACCGCTAGGGCTAAGACTGACCGAGCCAGGCACATTGCAGCGGACTACCCTCATTCACTTCATATTCGATTAGTAAGATTTCCGAAGAGCTTCTCCCCACGAACCGTGCGGAACCGACTTCTAAAAGGCTGCTTCACCGATCACTACAATCCTAACCTGTTCAAATTTATGGTTAACCATTATCTTCCAAACATATCCGCATAAGTTTCGTCTTCTACTCGAGTGGCACTCAGGCTTTGTACAGTTTGAACATCACCGTAAAAAAAAAAAATAAATAAATAATCCGATATTATTATTTCTTTGGAAAAGGTTTAGACGAGATTCATTCTTCATCTGCTCCATCTCACACATTTTCTGCTTAGAAACTGCAAAGGGTTAATAAGCCGTAAAAAACGAAAAATCAATTGATTATTTCTGCTAGGAGGCACTATGCTACTTATACAGGTTTGGCGCAAACAAAGTTCCAATCAGACGGATTTTTTTAACGAGAACCGTTATTTTGTGTAACAGACTATGTTTAGCATATTTAAGTGTCTATCGCTATCTGTCGTAACCTCAAAATTTGCATTAATTCCATCGTTTTATACCCATCCAACCACCTGAATTAGTGGCTCCTGGAATTTTTTATATATATACTATCATTTTTAGCCATCAGAATAAAGGTTTGATTTTAACGTTGACACAAATGTACAATGTTGTAGTGGATATTTACATGTTCTAATGTAACAGTGTTTAATATATATATATATATATATATATATATATATATATATATATATATATATATATATATATATATATATATATAATAAAAGGCTTAAACATATATAAAAAAATATATATATATAATAAAAAAAGGCTTATATACATATATAATAAAATATAAAATATATATAATTAAATATATATAATATAAATATATATATATATATATATATATATATATATACATAATAAGAGGCTTAAACACGAATATTAGTGTTTAAGCCTTTTATTATATCCTTACTCTGTCCTGGGCATTGAGTTCTAGCTGGATTCTAGCCTCTTGGAATTTTTTTATTCAAAAACATATACATGTATGTGTATGCACTTATGTACATATATTTATATATTTTGCATATGTATGTGTATATTTACCACTAATATTATCTATCTATCTATCTATCTATCTATCTATCTATCTATCTGTATATATATATATATATATATATGTGTGTGTGTGTGTGTGTGTGTGTGTGTGTGTGTGTGTGTGTGTAATGAGATCGAATAGAATCCAATTCAAGAGTTCGGAGCATTCAGTTTAAAAGAGGGCCCAATACAAGAATAGAGCAATATTCTTTATTTTAGGATAACACATGACAGACATGTAAAAAGCACTATGCAAATGCAACCATGTTTCGATGTGTACTAACACATCTCATCAGTCCTGATTAGTAGACAATTTATTCTAATAATTAATAAAAATAGTATAAACTGTCTACTAATCATTTTATGACTAACGCCTGATGAGATGTGTTAGTACACATCGAAACACGATTGCATACGTGCAACGTTTCTTTTACATGTTTTTGATGTAATATCCTAAAATAAAGCAAATATATATATATATATATATATATATATATATATATATATATATATATAACTCTGAGAAACGTGAAAGTATACGAATAATCAAACTCAAAAAACGTAATTTAACTGGAAAAACTATTTCAGTTCATAAAATAAAATTACTTTCTTTGGGGCGATTCGAGTTCAAGATTTAATCTCAAATGAAGCTCTATAGTGAACAGGAAAGGCTTAATGGAATTTAATCATTCATCCGTTCATTCGTTCATTAGATTGGTTCGATGCGCTCATTCATTATTTACTGTATCGATTTCACTGTCCGGCCCATTTATTTAATCGAATAGGCCTCCTTCCCCTACACTCTTGTCCATTTGCACACACACAAACACCCCCCACACACACACACACATATATATATATATATATATATATATATATATATATATATATATATATATATATATATATATATATCAGGTTATTAAGTATCAACTGTTAATTTAAAAATGTTATTAAATAGGATAAACAAAATTATTGTCTTTTATAATTTGAATTATTTTTTTTACTCTGATGATTGATTGATTTCCACTTTATTACAATTGAAAACATGGGGAAAGTATCCATAGATGACGTCACTTCCTTTAAAATTTCAAGCTTTTGATGGATATCAGCCATTGTCAAAAAATCGAAATTTTATTTTCTTCAAATCGTGCAATAACATTGAATCTCAATTTTAAATATGATGTGTTGGCGTTCGATGTCACATGAATGTCTTTCTTTTTCTACATCTATACCTGTCTCGTGCCACGTAGATATGCTGTCATTAGGGTTCTGTTTCTGAAGACATTTTATATTTTGACGATTATATATTGTTTATTGTAATATACTTACCCGGCCTCCCCATCAAGGCTGGATATAACGCAGGGTCGGTTTAACGTGAGGAGCCACACCCGCATAGCTATGCATATGGACCAAGAACAACTACAGTGAGCTGACATCGATATTATGCCTACCCAACTCCATTAATGCAATGAGGAGGTGCTGTCACAGGGTTGGAATCCCCGGGGCTGAGCAACTTCTTCCATCTAAAACGATGAGATTCATAGGTTCACTCACAGCATTGGTGGGGGGTAAGCTCTCATTGAATACTGGTTATTGAATACTGGTTAACCCCTTGCCAGTTCCTCTATATTTCTGAGATGAGGTATTATGTACATTATTTACATTATTCGGACTATTGTCCTCATCTTTGTCGCCATATTTATCACAACGTTTCGGCCGTTGTACGCTCCGGCCTTCTTCAGGTGGTTGGAAATTCATATCCAGATGTCCTCAAGGACACATGGCACAGTGGATAAAGGCATTGGTTAGATCCAGTGACAGGAACTAAAGAGTGTGAGTTCAATACCCGGTTAAGGCAGTGGAGAACTTTCAAAGGGGAATTAACAGGAGATAACTGTTAACTGACATCCATCAAACATAGCACGTGGAACTAGAACAGTCTACCCCAGTGAGCGAAATAAAGGGTTCAGTTTGAAATTCCAACTCTTGCCAGTTATTTAAAAAAAAAGAAAAATACGCCGTGGAACAGGTGTAATTATTGTTCTTATAACTTGAAGACATTTTATAAATTAACGATTATACATTGCTTATTGTAATACACTTATCCGGCCTCCCCACCAAGGTGGTATGTGAAACAAGGTTGTTTTAACGGGGGGAGTAACATCCGCATACTTATTCATATGGGCCAAGGGCAAAAACTGTTTTTGCCCTTGCCCCCCCCCCGTGACCACTGTCACGCTGACATTAGTATCAAGCCGACCCAACCTTTTTAGTGCAATGAGGAAGGATTTGTATCAAAGCGGCTGAGCAACTTCTCCCATCTAAAACGAGGATATTCACTGCCCCACTTACAGAAGAGGGTGCCTTAACAACGCATCAGTAAACCCTCATTGAATACCAGTTAATTCCAGTTCTTTTTTTAAAAATAATTTATATGCAATGGGACAGGTTAATAAAACGTATACACAGGATTTGAGAGTACAGTGGAATCTCGGTTTACGAAATTAATTTGTACCTGAAGCCCGTTCGTAACCCGAAAAGTTCGTAAACCGAAACTGTTTTTCCAATAGATATCAATGTAAAATGGATTAATCCGTTCATGGTCCTAACATTATTTAAACTTTAACAACAGTACTTTGTGCACAAGTTTATACATAAACCTAATGTAAACCATTAAAGCTAACAAATAAATTAACCCAATACTAAACAAATAAAATATAGACGAACACTTCAATTTTACCGTAAATGCATGTAGGAGAGTTGATGGAAGGGGAAGGAAAGAGATATTGTTTGGAAAAGGGAAGGGAAGAAATGACCGTCTCTTTATTTATCAGAATAGTATAGATCGTTGCTTTTTGCCATATGAAACGGAGTAGGAAGACAATAACATCATCATAGAGACAATATAATCAAAATTATTTTTTTCTTAACTTTCTCTTCTATTTACCAGTATCACTGGTAGCTTTCTTTGACTGGGGACTAATGAAGAGAAAAAAAAAGGCACAGTACACATAAAACTGGAAAAGAAAAGCACAACACACGAATGTATACAACACGACGGTCGACTCAGAAATGATTCCGTTCGGGTTAACTCGGTCGGGCTCGGTTCGGCTCGGTTCGTCTCGGATCGCCAATGTTATTGGAATCGAAATTGGTTTGATATCCGAGGCATTTTCATCTCGAATATTCTGTTCAAAACCGATTTTTTCAACATGTCAGACGTTCGAAGACCGAGGTTGGTCTGTATATTGGTTTTATTGTTGACTGTTAAATAAAACGTATTAAACTTTTATAAGAAACGAGACCACCTGCGATCCGTTGGGTCAAATTTGTTCCGTTTACTGTTTACATTTATTTTCAGGAAAGTAGAGATATTTTAAAAATACATTTATTTGTAGTTATTGAAGTTGCTTTCAACATTAAAAAAAATTATCTGTTTAAAGTAATTTGAACAATAACAGCTTGGAATGTCAAAATTCGGAGTGTTGGGATTCGATACAATAACATAAAATATTGTTGCACTGCTGCGCGTAATTCGTCCGTTTAGAATAATCAAACAATTTCCACTGAAAGAATAAAATTCAGTAGAAAAGACAAATAAACGTTAATTTAATATAACGACAAAAATACAAGCAAATGGTCATAGATTGGAACGTAATATCCCTTTGTTTGGGTTAATAAAATTCTGAAATAAAATATAAATTCTCTTTATGTACGTATGTGAGAAACAATGAAAATATGTTATATGTGCGTTTGTGTAAAAAAAATCAAATAAAGAGGATTCAAGAGATAGAATTTGTTTCTTTATGTGGTCGGTGTTGCCGTATTTTGAAGCGGCCTCTTCGAAGTTTGTCAGCGCTGTTGCTTTCAGTATGAGGTCATGAAGATCATAAGCGAGAGTGGCGTGGACCTTGATGGCAGCTGTTCGTATCTCTTTTGGGCCCGGATTTCGTGAGTTTTATACACTTTCTCGTAAGAAAATCGGCTCCATCCCCAACTTCTTACACGATAAGAAATTAACAAAGTTCACAGTGTTTTATAGAGTAATACGATAAGAGATAAGAAATATGCGTATATTTATGGATGATGCGTAAAAACTTCCACGGATATGACGATAGACTACATCCGCCTCTTGGTTAAGACGATAAACTACGTCCAACAGCAAGGCCTCTGATCAAAAGCTTTAAGGAGCGTGGAACCACCTCTTAATTGCTGGTGTTCCCAGGTCCACCCTGACCTGGGGTGGTAGCACCTGTTAGGGTCCCAGCTATGGGCAAATATTTAACACCTTAACTGGTGTAAAAATAGGTTTTAATAACAGAAATACTTTGTAATAAAAAAATTAGTACCAGCAATAATTTTTGAAGGAAAAATTATTATCAGCAATACTTTAAAAAAAGTACCAGCAATACAAACACCTATACATTTTTTGAAAAAAATATGACCAGTTATAGATTTCTTCAAGGAAAGATTTTCCCAGAAATAGATTTTTGAAGAAAAACATAGTACCAGCAATAAAAAATTTGTTGGCATTAAATAACCCATTGAGGTTGATATGCTGTAAAAAAAAAAAAAAAAAAACAATATATACTGAGATTAGATAGATAGATAGATAGATGATAGATAATAAAATATTACCAGCAAAAATATCTTTTGGGCATTAAAAAACCCGTTGAAGTTGATAAAAAAAAAAACCAATATATACTGAGATAGATAGATAGATAGATAGATAGATAGATAGATAGATAGATAAGAAATATTAGCAGCAAAAATATCTTTTGGGCATTAAATAACCCATTGAAGTTGATATGCCGTAAAACAAAGCAAACCAATATATAGTCAGATAGATAGATAGATAGATAGATAGATAGATAGATGAAAAGATTTTACCAGCAAAAATATCTTTTGGGCATTAAATAACCCATTGAAGTTGATATGCCGTAAAATAAAGCAAACCGATATATATATATATATATATATATATATATATATATATATATAGATAGATAGATAGATAGATAGATAGATAGATAGATGAAAAAATTTTACCAGCAAAAATATCTTTTGGGCATTAAATAACCCATTGACGTTGATATGCCGTAAAACAAAGCAAACCAATATATAGTCAGATAGATAGATAGATAGATAGATAGATAGATAGATAGATAGATAGATAAGAAATATTACCAGCAAAAATATCTTTTGGGCATTAAATAACCCACTGAAGTTGATATGCCGTAAAACAAAGCAAACCAATATATAGTCAGATAGATAGATAGATAGATAGATAGATAGATAGATAGATAGATAAGAAATATTACCAGCAAAAATATCTTTTGGGCATTAAACAACCCATTGAAGTTGATATGCCGTAAAACAAAGCAAACCAATATATAGTCAGATAGATAGATAGATAGATAGATAGATGACAATAATGATTGTATAAAATATGTACATAAAATCGAATAAAGCTGAACAGCAAGATGAAAAATATTAATGACAAACAACCTACATCATAAATCAATTTTAATCCATCAATAAAATCATTATAATCGGAAGAATTCATTCTTGCAACGAAACGCATCGCGAATATATATTATTTCCCTAATTTCGTTTTGACTGATCTATCTATTGGGTTGGTGCATAATTATCAGACGTTTTTTAAACAATATTTATTATGAAAAAAGAAGCATAATAATTCAACAAAAATATTTTAAAATGATTAAATATTTTTATCAAAAAAGTAAAAACAGTAATTTTTATTAACAAATAACTCGCCTACAAAATTGTCCCAATCTCTCTCTCTTTGTTTCTCTCTCTCTTTGTTTCTTTCTCTCTTTGTTTCTCTCTCTCTCTTTGTTTCTCTCTCTCTTTGTTTCTCTCTCCTTTGTTTCTCTCTCTCTCTCTCTCTTTGGTTCGCTCTCTCTTTGTTTCTCTCTCTCTCTCCCCCTCTCTCTCCCTTTGGTTCTCTCTCTCTTTGTTTCTCTCTCTCTCTCTCTCTTTGAACGAGAGGCTATCAAAAGTCCTTGTAACACCAAAGATGAACTGAAGGCAAGGATTATGACAGAATTCACCAACTTAAACAATGAGAACGCCTAGAAGAATTGCAGGAGATTCCGAAGTCGCCCGATGGCTGTATTGGAAGCCAATGTCGATATTATTGAATAGTTTTACGGTTTAATAAGTCAAATTATTTTAATCACTTTGGTAAATATATCTGCTAAAATATGATGTCAGTGTTATTTTCATTTTTGCGTCTTGTAAACGACAATTTATCCATCGCACCCTGCATATCTGTTAAAATGAGATGTCAGTGTTATTTTCATTTTTGCGTCATTCATACGACAATTTATACATCGCACCCTGCATATCTGTTAATATGAGATGTCAGTGGTATTTTCATTTTTGCACCATTCAGACGACCATTTATCCATCGCACCCTATATATCTGTTAAAATGAGATGCCCTTGTTATTTTCCCGATTGCGAAACTTAGACAACAATTTATCCATGGCACCCTGATAGTAGTCCATGTTGCAAACACCTTCTCGGACGCTGTTGTATTTCTTCAAATCCCGGAGCATCAACCCGTAATTTAAACTTAAATTTTGCCAACAGTCGTTTTATTAGGTTGGTGCAAAAATAATGACGTAATAATGTCGTTTTTGACGTATTTTTAACGTCAAAAAACGACATTATTACGTCATTATTTTTGCACCAACCTAATAGTTATCTTTGCCTAATTTCACATCTACACTATTTATTATCTGTTACCATCCGTATCAGTTTGGTTCCATGCCGCTCAGAATATCTTTCGACACTGGAAATTTTTGACATAAAACCATCACCATGCCTGTTTTAATTTAATGTCCCTTACGAAATTCTTACCTTATTTTCTGGCCTACAAGACGCACATTTTTTTCAGAAAAATACACTAAAAAAATAAGTGTATGTGTTCCAAATCGAATGTAAGGTCATCTAATTGGCTTGACTGCCACGGACGTGGATTTATATGTTGAGTCATTACACTATAATGTTAGCTATCTATATAATTCAGCCTTTTATATGATGTATATTATGTGATGCATATTTTCAAGACTTCCTGGAGCCGAGCCACATGCTTAAACATGCTCTGTTTACTAGCAGCGAGGGAGCCTTTCCACTCTTGACTAGTATGTCATTGCCATACAAAGAAAATCGGACGAGTGATTATTGTATACAATACGTGGCACCAATAAGTGAAGGACGCATTATAAATATGTTGTTGTATAAGAATGACTTTTTTTTTTCTTAGAAATTTCTTTCCGGTATTAGTGTGCGTCTTCCAAGCCGCAACGTCTTCTAAGCCGGAAAATACGGTAATAAATTTCACGGATTTTTCTCTGACTTTATCGAATTCTCACACTTTTCCACCTAATGATTTTATCTCCCAAATTTCTTTCTCCCTGTTAAACTACTGTTAATAATTTTTCCTTAATTTTTAAATTTTATTTTGTATATTTTTTTTTTTTTTTAGTCTTCCCCTACTTATTAAATCAGTCTTTCGTTATCCATTGGTTTCCGTTTAGTTATTTGTTCGAAATTTATTTTCTAGGTATTTATTCTTTTATTTGTTCTTACTTTTAATTTACTAACATTTTTTTTTAATCTCAACCCAATACTTTTCTAGTTCTAGAATATTTTTTTTTCTTTTATAATTAATTCTTGCGGTAGTAGTTTTCCTTTCTCTATCAAATTTCACTTCAGCACTGCTTCCTTTGAACGATTTAAACAACCTTCTTTATATTTATAACTCATTTTTTTTATTCAGTTATTTACTTCGTTCTTTCCACTTGACGTCATTCCGAAGTTTTCATTAAATAGTTAATTTTAACCTGGTGCTGCATTTTTTTTTTTCAAAATCTTTTTTCCCCTCTAACGAACGAACCGCAACGCATTGATGTAGAAAGCCATTTTGAATTTATCCATTCCTTTAAGATTCGAAGGAATTTTTTCATACTTTTTTTTCATAGAAAAGGGTGAATATGCATTCCTTTTTGACAAGTATGTCCTTGGCAGAAAAGGGTTACACCCATTTTGTTAATATCCGTCTGAGAACGCATGCGCAGTTCTTCATTGCCGCAGATGAGAATAAGATTGAATGTAGACATTTTCACAGGACCTTACAATTCTTATCAAATACGATTCTTATGTGAAAGGCGTATCAACGCGATATGCGAATCTAAAATAAAGAAACAGTCGCTTATATGAAATTCCTTTTGAAATGTACAGAAATGTATAAAGAAATCGACAATAAAATGCTGAAACATACATATCACAAGATATGTATGTATACAGTATATCGGCGTACGAAGTTAAATTTATGAAGTTATAAACTCATGACAGGAAATATATACAGTTTACCCAACAAATATTTATGTTTCAATATAATTTCCTTGCAGGCAATGCATTTCATCCGACGCTTCAACATTAAAGACATAAATCGGACATTAGACATGGAAATTTCCAGGTCAAAACTGGAATAATAGCATAACTGCGTTATGGTACGGACATTAGTAATCACTCACACACACACACACACACACACACACACACACACACACACAGACAGCCATATTTATGCCAGTAGATGTAAATAAATATACTGTTTACTAGATAAAATTAACGTCTATTCAGTTATGGGTATTCGCTAAAAATAACGTTTAAATATAAACATATATAAGACATTTTTTATGTTTATACATTCTTTTTATACATACAAATATTTAAGTAAATGCTCTGTTTATAATAAACAGTATTAAACAACATTTACCGGCCTGAATGTCCGAGATATTTTCACAGAAAATAATAGTCATCCGACAGGATTCGAACCAGTATCCCATACGGAACCGTCATTTAGCTTAACGTGCCTTTACCGATTCGGCCACAGAGGAGCGTTCGGTTAGCAAGGTCGAATTACTCGAATTTACTGTATTTAAACTTCAATCTTCCGTTTCAATTTTTCATAAACATAAAAAATGTCTTCAAATAATTGTCGGACTTTGTCCATTTATAATGCGTGACGTCATTTGTTTACATTTTGATGCGCTTTGAGCAGATATGAATGTACCTAAGAGATTCATAGTAGATTGAAGTTCAAATACAGTAAATTCGACCCTGTTAACCGAACGCTCCTCTGTAGCCAAATCGGTAAAAGCACGTTAAGCTAAATGATGGTTCCGTATAGGATACATGTTCGAATCCTGTCGGAGGAACAATTTTTTCTGTAAAAATTTTCAGACATTCAAAAAGGTAAATGTTGTTTAAATTGTTTATTATAAACAGAGAATTTACTTAAATATTTGTTAATATAAAATATTTTCAACATTGCGTATATTTCAAAGCGAATGGTTATCATCAACCTCTAAGACTTAGGGGCTGATGATAACCGCGCACCACAGTACCAAGCCCCTAAGACTTACAGGCTGATGATAGCTGCACACAGAACGGCTTTAAATAGACTATCTCTATGTTGAGGTAATTTTTAATTTTTTTCAGATTTAAAAATATATATATATATATATATATATATATATATATATATATATATATATATATATATATATATATATATATATATATATATATATATATATATATATATATATATATATATATATATATATATTTGCTTATAACATAATCTTGCAAACCAGACGCATTCTCTGTTGATATATGTCTATATGTCATAGCAAATCTGGATATATGGTGGTTCCGTATAGGATACAGGTTCGATTCCTGTCGGAGGACGCATATTTTCTTTTTCAGACTGGTAAATGCTGTTTATTATGAACAGAGCATTTTACTTAAATATTTGAAAATGTAAAAATAACGTATAACTGTAAAAATACACAAAAAATATATATTAAAATAATTGTTGGACATAGTCCATTTTCATAATACTATATATATATATATATATATATATATATATATATAAATATATTAATAAATGGACAAAGTCCGACAATTTATTTATTAAAGACATTTTTTTTTTTTATGTTTTTTATAAAAAAGTTAAACATAAAAAAAATGTCTTTAATAAATAAATTGTCGGACTTTGTCCATTTCTTAATATATGACGTCATTTGTTTACATTTGATACGCCAGAGCAGTTATGAATGTACGAGATTCATGGAAGATTGAAGTTTATAAGCAGTAAATTCGACCTTGTCTACCGAACGCTTCCTTGTGGCCGATCGGTAAGGCACGTCAGCGTAAATGACGGTTCCGTATAGGATGCAGGTTCGAATCCTTTTCTATGAAAATTTCTCGGACATTCAGGCCGGTAAATGTTATTTAATACTGTTTATTATAAACAGAGCATTTACTTAAATACTTGTATCTATAAAAAAGAACGTTAAACATAAAAAAATGTCTTTAATAAATATATAGAGAGAGATATAGCGTGTGTGTATTAAAAATGCTATACAAACATATGCTTATATCGACCCCAAAAAATGTTTTTGATACTAGCTGTATAACTGGTGGGGTAAAAAAAAAAATATACAAACGGTTAAAAATCATGGAATAATAACAAAACATTTGGACAGTTTCTACACACTCTGTGTTCAGAAAATAAAACAGTTGTTCGAACACAAGAACAATTAAATAAAAAAGCTTTATCGCAGTACCTTGTTTGTCATCTTTAATGAAATATATATACATCAAAACCTACCCACATTTCTCACCCGCACAAGACAGACATGCTTACAGAGGTGTTGAGGCCTCACACTTATACACACACCTACACGAACCTATACACTTACACACATCATACTCACTCACTCCCAAATGAGCCAAATGATAATACATACCCACACTAATATACACGCTTACATATATCATACTCACTCACTCCCTAAGAACCAAATAACACACACAGAGACACATCCCGTCTCCATGACCAATAAAACTGTCAAAATGACTAAGGGAATTCAGAGCAGAATAGATCCACCCAGCTCTCATCTCAAATAACAACTTAAAAGAGACTGTTTGACCAACACAAGGAATGTTAAAAGATTCATGTTAAAAGATATATATATATATATATATATATATATATATATATATATATATATATATATATATATATATATATATTTTGAGACAGCAGTCCCTCTTTTATATATATGTAATTTTATGTATATGTGTGTGTGTCTGTGTGCATATATACATTACTGTTCAAAATATCCAGGTAACCTCTGGTAATCTTTTTTTTTTTTTTTAATTGGCCCCCAAAGTAATTATTTTGTCCTTTACATGACAGAAAATTATTATACATGTTTAAAAATATGAGAGATGATGTTTAGTAGCAACTTTATCATGACAAATAGCAAAAAATGCATTTCATGATATATATGTGTGTGTGCGTGTGTGTGTGTCTGTGTGTTTGTGGGTGTATATGGTATTTGTAGAATATAAGATGATAATATGGCCGACAGATAGTGTCAACCCAGGACTTGAAGTTGTAACTCTATTCTTGATGTACCTTCTATATATAGCGGTGTGTGTCTCATCCCAAGTGTCATTGTTACATCACAAACAACAATTTACTTGTGGCAGAAGGGCTCAAATTTTTACAATGGTCGGAGAAATATCCTCCCGAGGAGCTCCTCCGCAAAGCTAAGGCTCTAGAAAGTACCTGTCCGAATGGAATTTCTTTCTTACCAACGGAATACAAACTATGATTATTAGGCCGATTCTGTGTGAGATTGCGGTCTTAGCGTGTAAACGTATGGACTAGTTGAACGCCTGGCTCTATCTCGTCAGAACATTTCTCATGTTAATTGCAATAAGTTGTCGATAGACTTGAGACTTTTCGTTTGTGGGGGAAAAGTCTGTAGAATGGGAAACTATTCCTCACCTAAAAGGCCGCATAAAGACTTTATATCTCCGTGGTGTCTAGAAAGTGAAGATTGGAAAGCCGACACTGTGATGTTATCTTAATTTCTAACAATGTTTTTTTTGCAGCTATCGACGTCCACAACATGTAACACTATTGTATCGTTTAATCAAGTGTCAACTGTTACAAGTTCTACAACAGCTCTAAATATGTGCTATAGAAATTTTATTTAGATACATTTTCTTCGCTTGTTTTTCGTTGAGAAAGGACTCAGGTGTTTTAGAAAATTCCGATTTAATTTGTTTTTTAAATCGTACTCCTATTTGGATATTATTCATCTTTCTCTTTCGGAATATTTCTACTATATAAATAAAGGGTGTTTCATTAAGACGGATTATATATAAGGGCGTTTCATTAAGAGGGATTAAAGTCCGTAGTAAATAAATCAGTGTTATTGTTGAAAATTTATATATTTCTCTATTGGATTATGTTATTTATATCCTGGCTATATGTATGAAAAATATTATTGCCCAAATGTCCGCCAGATCTGAAAGAAAAAGAAAAAATTATTAGACTTTAAATTTATTCACATTAAAATTGGTCCAATATATATATATATACCCTATATATATATATATATATATGTCTGTATATCTATATATATATATATATATATATATATCTATATATATATATATATATATATATATATATATATATATATATATTATGTATTATTCAAAATATATTGTTAAATATAGCAGAAAACGAATGTCTGGATCACGAGCCGCTCCAAGATTCACGAATTCAAAATCGAGCTGCTCAAATAATCTAGGATCGAAGTGTAGTACGCTGCCTTTGTAAGCTTCCTAATCGGCGTCTGTCGAACTCTCTGCATTAGTAGAGAGGAACCCGGACGAAGCTTTGCCGAAGGGCAAGGTTTCGTTCCAATAGGTAAAGAGCCTGAATCCGTCAAGGCGGGTTCAAAAAATGTCTTATATTTTGGCCGAGCCTACGGGCTCGGGGATACCCACATTAAACCGGCCTTGTGCCACATTCTATCCTCGTGGGTGGATCGATAAATACTGAGCCGCTCCAAAATTTGTATAGTGATTTTGGGAGGAAATAAAGGCGAAAACTTTCCAATATTTGGATATTTTTTATCATGCTGTCTCTCGATCTAAGCTTTCGGCTCACATGTGCCATCATCAGAGTGGGTATATATGGCCATTACACCAGGCTTGTTCACCATCAAAGATAACATCCTGTTATGTTTACATAAATGTTTGATATGCGATGATAATTGTCGGGGAATAGCAGACGAATGTCTTAAATTCGTAATGCGGTTCTATGAAGTCGCACATGAGAGAAAGAAATGTTATTAACAGAACCACGTGTTTAAATGCATTGAAATATGTAATTGTA